GATTATTAAATCATTTTTGTCGTCCTTTTGCTTCGATTTCTTAGTTTTCGTATTCTTCGATGGTTTGGGTGTTATCTCATCCAAGGGCTGGACTGAGATATGGAACAGAGGCTGAAATGAAAGACAACAAATAATTACCAAATAAGATATCATTTCACAAAATAGATTACAAGTCTATCGTAGGGTTTCCTCTTTGGGTCGGCTTTGAATTGAAAGTTCGGGAAAATGACTGCTTCTCCGGCCGCGTCTACACTGACCACTGCTGCCGTCCACTCAGATAATGACATATCCTTTAAAATAGGTCCACATATCAGACAATTTAATCAAACAGTAAGTAAATACAAACCCAAACACAGCTCTTATGAGTGGTCAGACTGTTTGCACTGAAATTGGAAAAACCAAAGTCTTTGAAAATGACATTATTTTGAAAACCACTGAAAATAGAAAATAAAAGCATTTTGTAATTACTTTAATGAATGAATTAAAAGTAAATATAATTACAGATAGCAGTCATCGTTGCCCAAAAACATTCCGTTCCATTGCATATGAGTGTCGATTGCGGTAAATAACCCCCTCTTGACGGTAGTGATGGGAACGGCTGTTAACGTAAACACAATGCAAACAAAACTCATTAAATAAATATGAATTTCAAACACCAAATGATAGTTCAGTCAATACTCAGATCCTTTAGATTCCAGAGTTTTGCCGACCGATCGAAACCACACGAAACGACGAACTGATCGCTGGATGAGTCAAACCATTTGATGCCATTGACGGACGCGCTGTGAGCCATCCAACTGTTGAGCGGTCTTAATATGGTTTGACTGACGCTCTGCTCCACAATCAGAAGCGACGATTTGGTGGTCAGATCCCAGACGGCGATCACTCCACTGCCATATCCGGCGACGATTAGGTGCTGTTCGTTGGATTTGATCCAAGAAATGCATTTACAGATTGTGTTCTCGCAGTTGACTGAGTTTCCCACTCCGGGAGGGTTTAGTATAACGACCGGTTCGTTATAATAGAGAGTATTGTCGTATGAATTGTTGAGTGTCTGGGGATGAGGTATACTATGAATGCGTACGAAACCGTCGCCGCACGCCAGGGCTAACAGTCCCATACGAGGCAAGGCTTGAGTATCATTTGGCTTATGACCGCTGATGTCGTCCCATGTGGTGCCGCCCGGACACCACTCCATATCCCATACCATTCCACAGCAGTGGGCAATACTGAAGGCCAGTCGGGGCTTAACTGTGGCGTCGAATGCAGTGCCGAGTTGTCCGACGCTCCAGAGCTGAATGAGTCCGCTCTCGATGTCCGTGTCGTTCAGTGTGTGAGTTGTGTCCCAATTCATGTTCGACGCCACGGCTAAGAACTGATCACAAGTGGTGGCGCTGTGCGGGAGGGGACACCAGGCGGTCGCCCACACGGGGCCGCCCACGAAGAAAGTGATGTATTGTTGGGTAGACAACGACTCGAATAGATTCAACTGATTCCATGAGTCGCC